TTATTGGGAAGGCGTTTTACAACTCGCAAGTTGTTATCTAAGCCACTGAGGTATGACTGAGATTCAACATCACCCAAAATTAGAGAATAGAGCAGTTAATGCCTTATCATGATGTACGAAGGAACCTCAATTGTAGGCATTGTCAGCTTCTTTGGTTTTAGATTGGAAGGTTCTAAGGAAATAAAGTGAGGCAAATGAAAAATTGAGCAAGTTCAGGTTTACTTTAGTGAATGACATGAACAACTATCTTGGTTATTCACTGAATGACCAACATTTACTTTACCAAGACATTATGTATGACCTGAGAATTCAAGACACGTATTGACGTTGTTACAGGAGTTTCATGACAGCGATATTGAAGGGCACTCGAGTGTGTTGAAAACATACCGGAAGATAGCAGCGGAACTGTATTGGGTGGAAATGAGAAAGGATGTGGAGACTGGAGGATTTGATCTCAAGGTGTGATGTGTGCCAAAGGTATAAGTACATGGCGTTAGTGCACGAGGGATTGCTAAAACCTCTAGCATCATCCCTAAACTATTGCTTCGGTCGCCACTGCTTTTATACGAGGGGTTGTCATTTTGCATAAGATCCCGGAATCAATAGTGTTGAATCGAGACAAGGACTTCATGAGTCATTTTTTGGAGGGTTGTTTAGAATGCAAGAGACTGTATTGAAGAAAAGTAAAATATACCACCCGTAGATTGATGGACAGTCAAGAATTGTTAATCAGAACGTGGAAACCTATTTGCATTGCTTTGTATCCAAAGCAGTAAGCTAAATGACTACCCTCGATAGAGTATTTTTGGCACAACACATCGTATAATACAACTTCTCAAACCACTCCTTTTAGAACCTTGTATGGTCGCGATCCACCTCATTTGATATACTATGCACACGGTCATACACTAGCATCTCTGGTAAATCAGTACTTAGAAGAGAGGGTAAAAAAGTTGACAGAATTGAAAAGACATTAACTGAAGGCGCAAAAACTTATGAAGAAACAAGCCAACACACATCGAAGGGATGTGCAGTTTGAAGTAGGAGAGATGATGTTATATAAAACTTATGCCTTGTTCACATGAGACATTGGACAGGCGCGGGAATGAAAAGCTCTACCAACACTATTTTGGTTCTATAAGATTGCTAGCTCATTGATCAGGTGGCTTATTGTTTAAAATTGCCGCTTTCATTGACACTTCATTCAGTGTTCCATGTATCACACCTGAGACGAGCTATTGGTGATAATGTGTCATCTTCTTCACTTCCCCACCTTAACTAAGAATATGAACAATTCTCTTCGAGCCACTCGAGCTAAGAGGGTGTGCCAAGAATCAACAAAGTGCGACCTAAATGGAAAGAGTTACCATATTATAATGCCACTTGGTAGAAATACAACTTAATCCAACAACAATTTCCTTTTTTTCACTTTGAGGGCAATTTGTCTTATTGGGAGAAGAGTAATGTTAGATCAACACCGATGACGCTTTCCGCGAGGCCGAGCATGTTAAATAATTTAAAGACTAGTTTTATGTGCAAGCTAAAAGGGCAATTTAGTCATTTGTGAGCTCTTATTATTTGCTATAAATAAAGCTTAATATAATTAGAGCTAGGGTATGCTATTATCGTCTAAAGTCTTAAGAGTTAGGGCTAGGGAGAGATCGCCTACCTCTCGAATTGTATGTTCTTATCCTTTATGTATTCAGAGTTATATTGTTTTATTTTTATATCAACAGTATAAAAACTATTAATTATGTCGTAATTTCTAAGACAAAATTTGTCTCGTTTCTATCAGCATCCTAAAGGATGATGATAATAAATACCCGTGATTAATTCAAATAGGATTAGATGACATAAAAGATTTTAAAGCAAACAAACTACACAAATATAATATGTTAATATAGATGAACAACTTCAAAAAAAAACAAATACAATCATTTTAAAGATCACTTGTGAAGAACTATCAAGTTTAGATTGATGGTGTTTTAAATCTCAAATTTTCTTAAAGATAATCAGCATCAATGAATCATTTGAAATGCAAAGCACTTTGACTCTTTTGATAGCTATAAGGTTCTTTCTATGCAATTGTGAATCAAGAAACCAAGAACAAAAACAAAGTCAAATCCTATTTATTTTGTAGAAATAATTTCATTAAATACTTTATGAGAAGTTAAAAATCATGGTCTTTTAATTGGTTTATTGATATCTACAATCATGAGTGGTTGAAATTTACAATTAAGAATTAAATCAATTTGTATTGGAAGCTTGTGTTCATATTCAAGAGTTGATAGCAAAAGTTCATGTTCATAATAAAATTTAGATTCAAATTCTGCTAAAAGTTTAAATTTGAATAAAGTGCCAAAATATTCCCATGACTATTTACATAGGATAATTTTAGTCCCAGAAACTATAAAAATACAAATAGTCTTCCAATTGTTTTAATAAGGTTGAAATGGTGTTCTGTGAGAACTATTTCGACCATATTAAAAATTTAGAGATTGAACTTGCACTTTTATAGACTCTTGGACTAAAATAACCTCTCGCAAAGAGTCAGAGACCATATTGATAATTTTCTTATCTAAATTAAAACATGATCATAGGATCAATTTAAAATTTAAATTTAGTCTCTAATAATCATATAGATTTATAATTTATCACATGCTCGAATTCAATTTCAAATTTAAATCTTAACTCCTGCTCAATTTCAAATTCTCATGAAAACATTCTAAAAAAGGTTCAAAATTCAATTCAAAAAGATCACATATAAATTGATACTGTAACTACAAATAATGTCTAAAAATCTAATAAACCGTTTAGAAAAATTCATAAAATGCATCTTACTATATAATATTTGATTTGACCACATGATTCATCTGTTTCTACATATTTGATAGGACCTAGAGAAAAGCAACCATTTTTCTTTAAGATATAGTGATAAAAGAATGTCATATTCCTCAACATCCAACGATATGTATATACCTCACATAGAATTTTTGAAGAAGTGTACCTTGATGAATGTTTAATCCCTAGCGTATGGACCTTTAATGAAACATAATAACGATAATAAATAGCATAAAGGCAAATAATATTTAACCATACGATCCAACGACCTTGCATAATAATAATAAAAAACCATAAACAATTTGTTTTCAATTCTTAGATTGACCATGCAATTGTTCCCTATATTCAATGGAATGGTAAATATTGCTCTTTAAATTAGGTTTCATATCAACCCATGCAAATTTAAAAGCAGCACTATCAATAATAATAATAATCATATCTCACAGCTTTTTTTTTTCTTTGTATTTCAACTCTTTATTTTAAATAATCCAAATAATAGATTCAATTTTATAATTCATTGAGACTATATCATTTCAAATATAGAAATATAATTTTGAATCATATAATAGTCATGTTTTTGCTGCACTGAACCACGACCGGTCAGTGCATAAAAAGATGAAAAAGATCAAAATTTAGGACACGATGCATAAAAGTGAAAAAGATCAAAATTTGCTGCCCGCCAAAAAATTAGATTAGCAAAAACAACAACCATTTTGATTTAGTTCAGAAAATAAGTAAAAGTCACTGCAATGTATAATTAAAAGATGCTCTAAAAATAAAATTATGCAGGAAATGTAAGATAAAGAAACACAATAATTAGAATTAAAATGGCAGAAGAAAAAACCAATGAAGTCCATTTGACCAAATCTAAATCACCAACGCAAAATAAATCACAGGGCAAAAAAAAAATAGCAAGGAAAGAAGCCATAAAAAAAAATTCAGGCATTAAGCTAGTGTAAGGAAAACGCTTCCCTTATAAGTTATCCTAAACACTTAAAAAACACTTGAAAAACATGCATCTTACTACACATAAGTTTGAGAGGAAAGATGAATTGTATAAAGAAATAGGCTCTTAATATACAGACATTGGGAGTGTTATTTATGACTACAAAAAAACAAAAATTGGTAGTTTACAAGGTATTAAAAGTTGGTTAAAAACAGTTAAGTCCCAAATTCCAACTAAATAGCAATTCCTTATTACATGCACAAAAATAAAAAAATTCAGAAACTATTACAGTAACAGGATCACAAGAAGAAATAGTCAAAAATCCCACCTATTTGGCAAAAACAATGAATTGAAGGAAAAATGGCAGACAAATCCTACCTACAATGCGACGTTAATAAAAAAATACAAAGAAATAGAGCAGTCAAAGAGCAAATAGAGGATGGAAGGAAATAGAGCAACTGAATCTCAAATACAGAGAAAAATTGAGAATAGAATAAAACAGAGAAGCAGAATTTCCTTGAAAGGAAGATGGTGATGCTAGTGGAAAGCATAGCAACAACCTTATTAATAAGAGAGGGAACAAAAACAAATTAGGGAGCACATTAAAACATAGCAGCAACCTTCAAAATCAAGCAATAAACAGAAACAGAGAATCCAGGCGTTGAAACAAAGAACCCGGGAGAGTTCAAAAAATTTTAACAATAGCTGAATGAAACTAGCTTGCAGTGCAGTAAATCAAAACTAACCAGGGGAATCAAAACAATTAAGAATACATCACATTATCATCGGCATATTCATCATGGATGTGTTTTATCAAATAACTAAAAAAACCAAACCTATGACACAAAAAGAAATCAATATCAACACACAATATTCGAATTCCTGATAAGTATGGTTTTCATATTTGTGTCACTCCAGTTCTCGTAATCTCATATATATTCATTGTCATGCATTATCCTTCATGCAACCAAGTAGAACTAGAATTCTCAACCTTTCCTTGACATATTAAATGGCAAACAAATATATCATATTACATATCAACCTAAACAGAAACCAAGAAAAACATCTTTCAGCAACTCAAAAACAACTTCACTTTTGCATTTTTTTCCATAATTCCGTTAGTGGTGGGTGGAAGGCAGCAGTTATGCCAACATATTACTATAGATAAATAATTGGTTGAAATGCTGGAGGGGGAAAATGAAAATAAACTTACCTTTTCCCCTAAGCCAGATTTGATTCCATAAACTCGAACTTTCGCTCCAGTTTCCTATTGTATGAATATGGAAATATAAGAGACTTAAATGTATATTTTTAATTTCAAAAGTTTTCTTAGCATGCTGCTGCACTTGACATAGTTAATAGAATGCATGAAAAAGATACTTGGAATAAAGATTGATGACATTAATCCTACGTTAAACCGCAAATTACATCATATGCTACTATTTCAGTAAACCTACACATTTTCCATAAATAATTAAAAAACATCGCTTCAGTATGAAGCCACCCATTTTGCTTATTCCCGCTGGGATTACAACTGAGAGAATGAAACCTTTCACCCTCCACTATTTAGTTGGGGGAGGTGCTTATGGCAGTGGAGGGTGAGGAAAATAACATCTAATAAAATGGGCAGAAAAGAAAAGGGATATTTCTTAGCAAGCATGAGAGGAAAGATTCAGAAAGAGACATATAAGGATGTGTAAGAACATGTCAGAACTTTTCTTGGCAAAAAACATACCAATGTAAAACTTCATGCAAAAACTTTAATGTTCTTTAACATAAGAAAGAACAAAAACTTTCAAGACAGAAACGGACATATTTGTGAATATTTGAAACAAGGGATGCAATGGAGCGCCCCAACTGAAATTTGCTCTAATTGTACCAAAAATAATATCAGGTTTGAAAATCTAGCAAACGTGAAGGAGATTTACTTCTTCGAGTCTCTTTTGTGTGTTGCTTTCAGGCCCCAATAACAAGCCAACAAAGTTGTAGCCTGGATATGTTTTAAACTGCAAATATCAAAAAGAAAATACAATTAATGTGACATATATAAGTACTTCTGAGCAGAAGCGCCACGAATACTAGCACCCCTCAAAGAAAAAATATTATTACTGCATAGCAGTAGCACCTGAAAAAAAATCATTTTCATTAAAGCCAGACCTATGGTCATTACTAACAAAAACAGATAAAGCTCATATTAAACATCAACATAATTGTAATGTGTGATTTAAAATAATCATCAAACAATGTGCAATCATTTGATCAAATATCAATTGAGTATTTTTAATAAATTGCATGCAGGCCCTTGAGATATAACATTAGTTTCATAGGATCTCAATTTAAAAAAGGTGCAACAATTAAGTAGTCCCTAACATTGACAGAAACCTTCATTTAGTTCGAACCTCAACAAAACCATTAATTACAAATAAAATACCAAAAACTACTTGCTAATGAATTATATTAAGTTATAGAAACATATTTGAAATAAAGCTAGACCATAGTTGGTCCATTCCTCTTCCTCATTGCCGCCCCATCTCTCTCTTCACCCACATCTCAATGGCAGCCAAACCGCTCTCACCACAACCATTGCGGCTATGGCAGAACAACTACTACTACACAACTAACCCTCCACATTCAATCACATCACTGACCTTCATTGTCAAACGACCTACTAGTCCTAACGAACAATATGGATCCATAATCTCACCAATAATGGGTGGGGTTGATCGATTGTATTCCAAATTCAGGGAGAGCACAAACAAGGTCTTCATGTTTGGGTTTTCTTAGAAGAAATTTTTTCATTATTTTAAAATTTTTGAAGGCAAACCAGTTTGATTCTACTATGATTGCTTGACATTGCTAGGTCATGGTTGCTAGTTATCGCAATAATCTTCAATGCAAAGCATCCTAAATGATTTTTGTTTATTGTGACTAGATATTTCACCTTTGGGCTTCCTACATGGAAACTCATTTGATTCTACTATGATTGTTTGCACTTGCACGAGGATCACAGTTACCAATTATCACAAAAACCTCCACCACTAAGATATCTACATAACCTTTGTTTATTATAAATAGCATTTCTCACTTTTGAACTTCATGAAGAGAGGAGATGATTTGATCTCTAGCAATTATTTTGTGCTGTGATTATAGATGGTTTAATTTTAGTACAAAATCCTTCCCCCTTTATCTACTACAAATTTCTAGCCATTTTTACGCATGAATTTTGCAAAGTTTTTTTTTTTTTTTATATGATCGTCTTGTTATATTTTACGCATGAATTTTGCAAAGTTTTTTTTTTTTTTTATATGATCGTCTTGTTATATTTTGAAAGTTTTGAATAATTAAACTGTTTACAACAAACAAAAGTAGATTTCTACTATAATTATCTTCCCTTGTGGTTTTAAGTCCAGTAAATCACTATAAGAGCTTGCATCAAGCTTAATAAGTTACAATGATATGAAAAGTGCAAGGATGCAAACAAGTTAAGAAAAGCAATCAAGGATCTTATTTATCTCAATCAGCTGACCATCAAACCAAAGATGAAAGAGTTTAAATTGCTAATAAGCAGAAAATTTTTATTTGAATTGCACTGCTGTTTTACATAGGCAAAAAAGGATAATAATCCAAGCCTCTAACAATTAATATATCAAAATTTTATTAATTGATGCAATAATTGCAAAAAATAATGCTTGTTATTATCATAGTACATTTTTTTAAGCTGTCCATGACTTTATCAAATTTTGGATTATATTTAATCGTAAAACACAAATAAAAAAATATTTATTTGCATAAATACACGACTATATATTTATTTACTTAGTTATATAGACGAGCCAAACATAATCAATATGGCCATTGCTCGTGTTCAACGAAAGCTTATCTTGCTAACTAAGAATGAGTCCAACTCAAACCACCATCGAGTTGGTTATTAGCAAATATTGAGTTTTTTACAATCCCGAGATCATTGCCTTTAGACATTTGGGTATATTCTACTTTGTTAAAGTAAAATAGGTATATTCTACTTTGTTAAAGTAAAATGGTTATATTTTTTATCTGATATAAAACATTTGGGTGGTATAAATGTTAAAAAGTAAAATTTCCATAGATATGTAAATTCATAGGAATTGTATGGTGTGTATGTAAATGCCCCTCTTGAAAATTAAAATAGTAGTGTTTTTGAAATATGAAAGATTTGGATGGAATAAATGCAAAAAGTAAAGTTTAAGTGAAAGAAATGTAAATATATACAAATTGAGTGTTATCTATGTAAATGCCCCAAATATTAATTAATTGTAATTTTTGCTCATTTAATTATTAGTTAGATTTGCATTAAGAGCTACTGCACAGCTGCATTATAGCTCACATGATCACTTCAGCATTTATTATTATATCGATTCATATATTCATTTCGTAGTGTGGTTGAGGATAAATTACTTCCCTTTGAATTATATGTGCTAACTTTTTAAACCAAGAATCTATAATTTTATTGTAATAGAACTTCATATATAAGAATATTCTCCGTTATTGTGAGAATTGTAATTAACAGTTTGTTTGTTTATAAAAAAATAATTTAGGTATAACTGATTCAAACATAAAGAGAAAAGACTTAACTTGGAAATATATAAAATTAAAATTTGAATGTAGCACTCTGTCATATATGTATTTATTGTGATAAGAAGATGAATGGAGATATATCTCAAGCCAATGAACGAATTATTGGTCCTTCCAAAACATCAAAAAAATTAATATTATTAAATGTAAGAAAGTATCTTAATATGTAAAAGAAGAGTTGCTTGCCTGAGTAAAAAAATTCAAACAAAGTTTGTATATGGAGGACAGTGAGAATGTACAAACAACAGTAACAAGCCTTTTATCCTACTAAGTGGGGTCGGTAACATAAATCCTTTTTCTCCATTGCATCCTATTGAGTGTCATATTTTCATTTAATTCTAAAAAAATTAAGATCATTTTTTATACGACATGCTCATATCTTTCTAGGTCTATGTCTGTCTTTCTTAACATATATCAAATATAAAACATTTATTCTCTTAATCGTATCATCAGATGGTCGACATTTAATGTGACCAAATCATCCAAAACGACTCTCTCTAATTTTATATGTCACTACACCAACCTTATCACAGATATATTCATTTCTCAAGCCACACATCCACCAAAGCATTCTCATCTCGGCAACACTTAGTTTTATGCTTCACTTTTAAAGGCCAACATTTTGTGTCATAGAGCATTGCAGGTTTCACAACCATACTATAAAATTTTCTTTCTATTTAAGCGGTACTTTTCTATCACACAATAGGCTTGAAGCATTCCTCCACTTCAATCAACTAACTTGAATTCTACTAATAAAATCCTCACCATCACTTTGAACAATATACCTGAGATATCTAAAGCGTTCACGCCATTACTGATTTGAACACCCATAGTTACAACATCATCACTACAACTACTACTACTAAAATTACAGTCCATGCATTCAATTTAGTTCTACTCAAACGAAGGTTTTTAGATTCTAATGTCGACGTCCATAATTTAAGTTTTTCCTAAGCACTTTCTCTAGTCTTATCCACAAAAGGATATCATCAGTCAAAAGCATATACCAAGGTACATCCTCCTATAAATGTCAAGTAAGAGGATTCATCACTAAAGAAAAAGGATATGCGCTTAAAGTCAATTTCTGATGTAATCCAACTTAAATAGAAACATATTTGATCACTCCTCCATCTGTTCAAACACAAGTAACAACTATAGCATACATATCTTTAATGATTGAATGTAAGTCATATCAACACATTTCTTCTGTAGAACTCTCCAAAGGATATCTCTTAAAATCTTATCACAAGCTTTTTCTAAAACAATAAAAATCATATGTAGAACTTCTTTATTCTCTCTATACTTCTCCATTAAACCTCTCAATAAATGTATAGCTTTCATAATAGACCTGTCCGGCATAAATCCAAACTGATTGTGAAAAATCTTTGTAATATATCTTTACCTACGTTCAATTACCCCCTCCCATAATTTTAAAGTATGACACATCAACTTAATTCCTCTATAATTTGTACATTTATGTGCACAACCCCTTTATTCTTAAAAATGGGGACCAAAATACTCTTCATCCACTCCTCGGACATTTTTTAGTTTTCAAAATAATATTAAAGAGTTAGTAAGCCATCAAACTCCCATATCTCCTAAATATTTCCACACTTCAATTAAAATATAATTAGGTCGTACAGACTTTTCACCCTTGGTTTTCTTTGAAGCCTCGTCAACTTCATTTCTATTAAAATAAAAAAAAAATATTTTATTTTATTAACGATATTAAGATCACTAAGGTCGATCACTAAGGTCGATCTCACTAAGGTCGATCGCATTTTCAGAAACTTCATTGAAAAATTTATCAAAATAACTCACTCACCTATGTTGAATATCATTTTCTAAGAAAAATACATTTTGGTTTTCAACTTTAATACACTTTCCTGAAGTTAACTCTATATATTATCTTTAGTATTTAATATATTATAAAGATCACAAAAAACATAATTTTTAGCATCGCAGATTGTTATCTTAGACTCAAAGCCTTTGAGTCATTTTATCTTTTTTCCCAGTTCTCTAACCAATTTTATAGCACTTCTTATATTTTATCTATTCTAACACATTATTATTTTGTCGCCAACTATTTTTTTTATATGTTTTTTTTCTTTTTGATTCTCCAAATACATCTTTTGTCACTTGTTTAATAGTGTTCGTTATTTTTTCTCGCATAGAATTTGCTGCTTCATGAACATGTCAAACCTAAATCTTAAATTTTACTCATAAAAATTGTATCTTTTAAGTGTCCTCATCTAATTCTATGATAATGATCCTATTATTCTTTATTTTATAACTCTTCATTTTAAAATTCAGAACTAATAATTGATGTTAAATACTTAAAATTTTACTTGGAATGAACTTACAATCTTGACATTCTCGACGATCTTTTCTTATG